TAGAGATGCAACATCCTCCTAACCTGGCCACAACGATGAACCTCGCGTGTGCCTTCGAATGGAAAATGCAACTCTCTCACGGAAACCTCAGTATAGGACGACTGACAACAACCTGGGCACCTTCGAAGACAATAGGGGTGTCTCCTTCGACAACCAGCAGSGAACAAAGGCCTCCTGTCGGTAACCCCTCCAGATCGGCATCAAGTGCAAGAAGTAGCAGGACAACACCCCTCATTAGACGGCTGTCCCGAGCCAAGATGGCAGAACGTCGCGCAAGAGGGTAGTGCTTCAACTGCGATGATCTGTACTCCTCTGGTCACAGGTACAAGAAGCTGTTCTGTCTTCTGGTAGAAGAACCCGAAGAAGACGAGGAGGAACCTGCAGCATCAGAACCAAATATCTCCCTCCACGCCATCACGGGGATCAAAACTTCCCAAACCATGCAACTAAGGGCGCGGATAGCAGGGCAACCAGTTCGTATTCTTGTAGACTTCGGAAGCACCCACAACTTTGTCAGTGAACAGGCTACCCGTCGGTTCGAATTACCGATGGAAATCAGGCCGTAGTTATAGGTAGCCGTGGCCAACGGGGAAAGAGTTCACAACCCTGGTATCTGCAAAGACACCAAAATTCAGGTCGGATCAGAATCCTTCCGGGCTGATTTATTTGTACTCTCCTTGGATGAATTTGGCATCATCCTGGGAGTCAAATGGCTAATCACTCTAGGGCCCATCCTATGGGACTTCAGCGCCCTGACAATGACTTTCCACTTGAATGGGAAACCGGTTACATGGTAGGGAACCAGAATAAGGACAAAAATGCAACTACACACACTTCAAGGTGAGGACTCACGCGCAACAGATATGGAGAGGCTCCTCGTGGATTTCTCTACAGTGTTCAAAAAACCCAAGGGGCTCCCACCTTCCAGAGCCTGCGATCATCGGATCCCTCTGATAGCCGGATCAGATCCCATCGTCGTCCAACCCTACTATTACCCACATCGACAGAAGGATGAAATAGAAAGGCAGTGCGCGGACATGTTACAACAGGGGATCATCCGTCCCAGCCTCTCCGCCTTCTCCTCTCCAGTTCTATTGGTACCCAAGCAAGATGGGACTTGGAGATTTTGTGTAGACTACAGAGAACTTAACAGTCGGACGGTCAAGGACAAATTTCCTATCCCCATCGTAGATGAGCTATTGGACGAGCTCCATGGCGCACAATACTTCTCAAAACTAGACCTCTGGTCGGGTTACTTCCAAGTCCGAATGACTCTTGAAGATGTAGAGAAAACGGCCTTCAGAACACATCATGGCCATTTTGAATTCCTGGTTATGCCAGCCTCAGCAACGCTCCTTCCACGTTCCAGGCCCTGATGAACGAGGTATTCCACTCCCACCTCCGCAGATTCGTCTTGGTGTTCTTTGATGACATCCTAGTCTATTGCAGATCGTGGGTAGAACATGTGCAGCATCTACGGATCGTTCTTGAACTCTTGCAACAACACCAGCTCTTCCTTAAGCGATCCAAATGCTCCTTTGGGGAACGTCGGGTCCTTTACTTAGGACATGTGATCAGCGGGCAAGGGGTCACTATGGATGACTCCAAGATGTAGGCAATCAGGGAATGGCCCAGACCGCAATCCGCCAAGGCTCTCCGCGGGTTCCTAGGGATGACAAGCTACTACCGCAAGTTCGTACAAAATTATGGACTTTTGGTGGCTCCACTAACCATTTTGCTCAAGAAAAATGCCTTCCTCTGGGATAGTACAGCCGATGCAGCCTTTGTGAGTTTAAGAGAAGCCCTCTCCACGCCGGTTCTACAGTTGCCAAACTTTGATCTCGAGTTCAGTGGAGTGCGATGCATCCGGCACCGGCATCGGTGCCATACTACAGCAGCAAGGGCATCTAGTCGCCTTCTTCAGCCGCAAACTGGCCGACCGCCACCTTAAGTTACCTGCCTACGAACGTGAATTGATTGGACTAGCGAAAGCAGTGCAGCACTGGAGGCCGTACTTGTGGGGCAGATCGTTTGTCGTCAAGACGGACCACTACAGCCTCAAATATTTGTTGGAACACGGCTTACCACCTCGCCACAACAACATTGGGTTAGCAAACTCCTTGGGTTCGATTTTCGGGTGGACTACAAGGTGGGAACCTTGAACTGTGCCGCAGATGCCTTGTCTCGCCGAGAAGAAGACAATATGCTGCTCCATGCGATCTTACAGCCCCGAGTCACCTTGCTAGAAGACATTCGGAACATACTACCACAATCACCGGAGTGGAACGAGTTGGTCAAGAAAATAGAAGCCGGAACGACCAGCCCAAACTGGTCCGTGCACGACGGGTTGGCACTATACAAAGGGCAGATTTATCTCCCATCCGACTGCCCTTTAATTCCCTCCGTCATCTCCAGCATACACAACTCCACGCATGAAGGTGTCCAGAGAACATTGCACCGCATCCACGCTGACTTCCACTAGCAGGGTATAAAGGCTTCGGTGCGAGACTTCATTCAGAACTGCTCTATGTGCCAACAACAGAAGTGGGAAAACTTGCACCCAGCAGGCCTTCTCCAGCCACTTGCACTCCCAACTCAGATCTGGGCAGATATTTCCATGGACTTCATTGAGGGCCTACCCAAAGTTGGAGGGAAGCCGGTCTTATTTGTAGTGGTGGACCGCTTTTCCAAATATGCGCATTTCCTTCCCTTATCCCACCCTTACAGCACGGTTTCAGTCGCCCATGCCTTCTTCACCCACATCTTCCGATTGCATGGGCTACCCGAATCCATCGTAAGTGACAGAGACCCGATCTTTACTAGCACTTTCTGGAAGGAGCTATTCCGTCTGCAGGGAACAGCCCTGGCCTTCTCCTCAGCCTACCATCCGCAGACTGACGGCCAAACGGAGGTGGTAAACCGAACAATAGAGATGTACCTCCGCTGTTTTGTGGGAGACCAGCCCCGACATTGGGTGGAGTACCTTCCGTGGGCCGAATACTGTTACAACACCTCATACCACTCCTCTCTTGGCATGACTCCCTTCCGGGTTGTTTATGGTCGGGACCCCCCCGTCTATTATCTTACGATCCCAGTTCAACACGGTTGGAAGAAGTGGATCGCAGCCTACAAGATCGTGATGCCCTCCTGGCCGAAGTCTCCTTGCGCTTACAGCAGGCTCAGGCACGTATGAAGAATGCCTACGATCAGCGTCACCAAGAAGTCACCTTTGAGCCGGGACAGTTCGTTTGGCTGAAGCTCCAACCTTATCGGCAGCTCTCCTTCAGATGCAGAGCCCCCTCTAAGTTGGCTCCCAAATTCTACGGGCCTTTCAAGGTTTTACGACAGATCGGGAAGGTTGCATATCAGCTCGAGCTACCGGAACACAACAGACTCCATGATACCTTCCACGTGTCCCTACTCAAACCTTTTACAGGGACTCCTCCTGCTCAAGTACCTTCCCTACCCCCCTTGAAGGACAGCAGACCCATTCTCCAGCCTCGGACTCTTGTCCGATCCCGCATCAACTGGGGTACCTTACAGGTCCTTGTGGAGTGGGACGAACTACCATCAGCGGAGGCCACCTGGATTCCCTGGTCTGATCTTCACGACGCCTATCCGGATCTCGAGCTTGAGGACAAGCTCGTTGCCCAGGAGGGGTGTGATGTTATGGATGCATTTGTGGGAAAGGCTTACTGCCGCCGCGGGCAGCAACAGTAAGGAGGGGCCCACACGACAGCTCATCAGGGGGCCCACGCTTATCTTGCCACGACAGCTCTGCTTGCCAACTCACCACCAGCTTACATTATCCCTCATCCCATCTATCCTTATCTTATGTTCTTAGTAAGAGTTTCGTTTACCACTAGAAGTAGGAGTTTGGTTACCATTAGAAGTAGGAGTTTGAGTTTGATTTAGAGAGGGATTATCCTAGCCTAGCCGAATACAACAAGGAACCCCCCTCTTGTAATCTCCTATTTAAGGAGCTGTGAATTGGAATAAAGCATTCAGTTTCCAGTTAAGAGAAGAGTGAGGAGAGTTCGGGTGGTCTCTTGGACAAATCACCCATTCGGTTTTCCACAATAGGGTCTGCACACAAGGGAAGGCGCAAGGGGAAGCAAGAGGTTCTCCCCGTGGACCGACCCGTGATGAGATCCTACGCCTGGGCCCATAACATAGCTCTACCCAGTCTGCCATATTGAAACACATGGCTCATTAACTATATCCCCATGCCAACCCCCTTCCTATTTCTCTATCATATTCTTGGATCAAATGTGAGGATCATTGAAGATGTTAGTTCCAAGAAAGCAAATCTCACTGAGAAAAGAGACAAGTTCCTTCCCTTTCCTTCTCAGTAATCCTTATACAACATTCTCACCTCCTCTTGTCATTAATCCCCCATTTGAGATGGTTTTCAACCTTCTTTGATTGGTTTTCTAAGTCTAACATAGTGCCTTCTCACATACCCTCTTTCATCTTCCCTAGTCGTTTCATCCTTCTCAAGTTTAAAGTAACAACAAGCATGTATGCCTCATCCCCTGGAAAGAAAGAGGCCCAGCTTATCTGATAGTTTCTCTTTCATTTTACCCCTTCCTCAACCTTATGATGCACCAATTCCCTAGTTCAGTTATCCTGGATTTAGGGGGTGTTCAACAACATGGTTGGTTTTGTTTTTGAAAACAAAAGAAAACTGTATTGATCAAAAAAAAAAAAACAAAACAAAACTGCCACATTAGCAAAAAATCAAATCTTTAAATCCACCCCCACGGTTACTTTTGTTAACAGGTCACAGGTGTCTAAGAGAATTATTAAATACCTTGAAATTGAATTACGTCTTCCAATTGCTTCCTGAAATTTGATCTAGGAATTATGATTTGCCTGTACTTTCTACCATTTTTATTTTTAATTTTTTGTTTCTCCCATTAAGTCATGGACTCATGGTGATGTGTTCTATCAGTTTCATTTTTTTTTCTTTTGAAGATTATAAAGCATTTGTCTTGCAGTGTCCATGCATATGTTGTTTTCAAAGATGAGCAATCTGCCCAGGCTTCTTTGTCACACAATATGGCAATGGTATGCTGAACAAATCCATTAGGATGGTTAGGTTTACACTTTGGACTTAAATATTGGATGAATATGCTGAATTGACTGTTCCGTTTCCACTGATGTAGGTAGGAGGGAATCATATTCGTGTTGACAGGGCATGCCCACCTCGTAAAAAATTGAAAGGAGAGAACAGTCCCCTTTATGATAGAAAGAGAACTGTTTTTGTGGGCAACCTCCCATTTGATGTGAAGGTGATTTCATTCTCCAAGATATTTACTTGTAGTTAAAGTTGTTTCATTTTAGCATCTTAAGATTGCATCCATGCTTTTCATATTTATTTTAATATTTTTTGTTTTCTCTGCAGGATGAAGAGCTTTATCAGTTATTTTGTGGGATCAATCAATTGGAATCCAACATTGAGGCTGTCCGTGTTATTAGAGATCCTCATACCAGTGTGGGGAAGGGAATTGCTTATGTCTTGTTTAAAACAAGGGTATGATTTATTGTTCTGCTGCACTTTTTCTCCTCTCTGTTTTGATTCAATCTACTTTCAATTCCCAATGTCTCCAAGCTCCACTTTTGAATGATAATGATGCTGCTTCCCTCCCAAGATTTTTTCATTTATAAGCATGGCACGCTTCATTTGTCAAATGGTATTGGCCCATTCTTTGGTGAGATCACCTTTATGTAGTTCAGAGATGTTTTAGGTGGTAAAATTGTAAACATCTCAATACATGCAAATGTCATGGTTTGGTTATTCAATTGGAAGTCTTTTCTAGCAGAACTGTATTTTCACTCTTTTTGGAAATAAAGATCGACTCATGAAATTATTTCATACTTTAATGCTGGAGAATGTGCATGTTGATAGGAAACAACAATTATTCCATATTTATTTATGTATTGTATTCAACAAGGGTTAAACATTTAAATATTTCTGGCATTAGGCCATTAGAAGGGTGCCCATGTAGGGTCAATGTCATCAGTTAATCACAAAAGCCATGTGCACGTGTTCTGGTCAAATGAAAGAAGAGGATGAGGGAAGAAGTTGAAGGGTAAAAAAGTTTGTTTATCATTCTATGGGCTTTATGTCTTCAGTTCCCCGTTATTTCTTTATTTGATGGTTGATGTGCAGGTAGCATAAGCAGATGGGTTTCATTCATGAGGGCTGAATCCTGGGATTAGGAGGGGATTCTCTTGCTTTGAGGTGTTATATGATCAATGTAATTGGATTTTCTTGACAAGAAGCTGTTGTATCCCTATTTTGTATTGTCACCTTCCCTTAATTTCTCATGAAAATACTCTTTTTATAAAGAAAAACTAAACAAATAGGCAGATTTTAGGGTGGTTTATAAAACCCCATAATTCTTTTTATTTGCACCAAAATCTCTGTTTGGTTTGTCCTCTTGTGACCTGACAGCAACGGGCAAGACTGGTGATGCTAGGAGTGCTCAAAGAAATAAACATCGTTAGGGCCCAACAGAATTCTGAGTTACTGCTCAGTGAAGTTACTTGAGTGATACTGGGTAATTGATTTATTTCGTTTATACGTATGTGTGTGCACATAACTGCCCATAAAAGGTTGACAAGTTTCTCCCTTCTACATCACTCAACATTTTCTTATAATTCAATAATATTGGTAATAAATTGGCAACAAAGATAACATCTAATGGATCGTGGGATAAGAGGTATGTCTCTGGTAGACTGGGGAGCTTAAAGAGTCTGGAAACCCTTGGCACAGGGATCACTTTTTGTTTGGTTTGGTTTGGTTTGTACTGAGTAGATAAGAAAAATCAGGTTAAAGTGGAGGAATTTCTGGAAGAAATGGGTGAAGGAAGCACATAAAGGAGTAGAAGGGGCTTTAAAGATGTAATGGGGCAAAGATGAGGAAGCTTGTCAAGGGTGCAATTTTATGCTTTATTCTCTTAATTTGGGATTTCTTAACAACTTGAGCAAAACTTACTATTCTTTCTTGTCTTAATTCTCATTTGTTATTACATTAATTTTCTCCCTACAACCCTATATAGTCTGGTCCGTGTTATGATGACTGGTAGGATTATGACATGCAGGCTGCTGCTAACTTGGCCGTCCAGAAAAAGTCACTGAAGCTCCGAGATCGTGAATTGAGACTCTACCATGCCAAACCAGATTCTACTCCAGCAAAGAAAAGAAGTATTTCACCCACATGGGCAGATAATTCCCCAAAGAAAAGGTTAGTTGTGGCTTCCAGTGGGGGTGCTTCATCAGACAAGGGTAAGGCCAAGGCAAGACCTCTCTCGTACCAGGGCTTAAGAGCAAGCAAAACAGGAATGCAAAAGAAAGGGGGTTTACGCCCAAGAAAATCTGAGCAAGGGAATGTAAAATCTAAAAAGGGTTCTGGGCAGAAAGAACGCAAGGGCAAAAGGCCTGCAGTCGCTGCTAGAAAGGCAGCAATGAAGAGTGGTGCAACTCCAAGACAACCAGGGAAAAAACGGAAGCTTGAAAGCCGGACCCCAGAGAGTTCACACAAAAACAAGAAAGCCAAGAAGTTGAAATAGGAAAGATAATTTTACAAGGGTCTATTCTGTTGTACTAGCTTTGATAATTTAAAGGGAAATTTTATGAGAACTTGGATAAAAATCACAGCTCTTGTTTTAGTTGCCTTTTCCCTTCCATTGAAGAGATCGTTGTAGCATCTAAACTATTATGTATTATTCAATCGATTGGTATATGTAACAGATATCTGTTGCGTTATTTATTGATATCTCTAGTTAGTTTCTTCCCCCTATTTTGTTTTTGTATCACTTCCACTGTTTTCGATTCCGGGCGATACAAATACAATTAGATAGAAATTTAGTAGTTTATGTTCCCAATGTTTTAAATGGTCCTTTATTTTTCTTCAAATTTCTTACTATCCTTTTCCAGGCTCCATTTGTCTCAAGCTATGTTGTAAGTTTCTTATATTGATTTTGAAAGACTTGAGCGGCATTTAAAACATATGCAGCAGAGGCAGCAGCTTAAATAAAGTTCCCTCGGGTTGAAGGTTGATGGCCTACGGCTACAGGGTACATCCCTCCCTCACGGTAAAAGGCTAAATGCTATTAGCCTTATTTCACATCACTAAGGCATCATGGTATATTCCACTCCGTCAACGGAGGCGTCAGGCTTGTGGAGGTCCTTCAAACAAAAAAAAAAAGCATTATGTCCCTCAAAAAATAGGAAGATTTCAAGACTGAAAATTTAACAAAGAATATAGATATATTCCTTGATAAGTGAAAAGGTAGAAAAGGATGAGTACCCCAATCCCACCAAATAATTGGGAATAAAACTATGTTGAGCCTAAGGATAACAATGGAGTAAGTAATATTCTATCTTTGCTAGCTAAAGTTTGTCTAATAGATGTTCTGACATGGGGTGACGCACGCTAACGTTGCCTGTTCCTGTTAGGCCTCGTCGTCATGAATGAAGTAGAACAATACTTCATGGGTTACTTCTTTTTGCCTCTAAAATTATTTTCTATACTTCATCTTCCTAACCTTCGTTTTACTGTATACTTCTGTCTGAATTTTACTCATCATCCTTTTTGTCACAACTCGCTAGTCGCCATTAATTAGGACTTTTGCTCTTCAGGTGGCATGTTTGGGTGGGGTGAGGTTGGGGGAAGGGGGGGAGATGAGGTGGTAGCAGGAGTATATCATCGATCCATTATGGTTTATGGAGGCCTTCATTAGCTGTTTTTGTTTTGTTTGTGAAAATGGCTGGGCGTCTTGCACGAGTATGTCAATCCACAAGTGTTGCGATTGTACAACATTTGTTACACAACAACATTTATCGACCCCATTGAGACACCGAAACATGAATATTAACAATACATACATACATTAATAACTAACTTTTAATGTATTAACTTTAAATACATTTTGAACGCCAGGAGTGTGGTTAACTTATGGATTGCAATCAATGACAATGGGACGTGCAAAACCAATTTAATGATCGCATGAGCCACACTATTCCCCGTAGCCATCTGAAGATTTGTCTGACTGAGGCCAGAGTGCAATATTCTCTCAAGTTGTTGCAGGTTTGTGGTGGTGAGGATCTCTCTGCTAGCGGTAGAGATGTAGCTGCAAATTGAACTTGCTCTAACTCTACATGTAAGGACCTGCTGTGATGTTTCTGTGCTACCAAAACACATGGAGGACCAATCTGTCTGAGGACGCCCTACACCTTGCTCTTACTCATCAGAGTAGGGGTGACTGTAACAACCCCAATAAGGAACATGGTGGCAATTGCCTGGAAATCATAAAGGTCACCTACCGATTGCAACTCTCCAAGAGTTATTCCAGCCTGCACAAAAGCAAAGTTGAAAACCCATTTGAGAATCTGCCTTGTTAGAATAGATATAGTGGTCGCATGCTGTAGGGATTGGATGTGACAGTTTATAGAATGCTTATCCCATGAATCAGTCCAAGTGGTTCAATAACTGAGAATCTGCCTTCTTGGATGCCCAGAAAGATGGCAACACAAGGGTGTTTCTCACCTAAGTCTTAGTTCTAACAACTAAACATCAATCCGAAATCAAAGTATCAAACAACAATTGATAGAAAATTGCCTAGACAGGAAATACATTGGCAAACCCCAACAAATAGATATCCTATCATTGAACATTTAAGGCCTGATGCAGTGGCATCACAACAAAGCATTTACCCCAACCATGTCGAAATAACTCATGCCAAATGATCTTAAAAAGAAAAATGCATACCCTCACTGTGACATAAGCAGCTGGGATGAGTCCAAAAAAGGTTGCCAGGAAGAATATATGGTACGGCACATCTACTATTGGCGAGGCTACGTTAATGAATGTGTTAGGTAATGTGGGTGTCACCCTAAGGAAAAGCATATAGTTCAATAGGCTATCTCTTCTTTTAGCTACCTGAGAGAGCAAACAGCAAAGACTGAACACTTGTTATTTGATAGAATTTATAGAAGCAAAGATAATGCCAGGGTTGAACCAATTTTCACCTGGGCTTGGAAGAAACTCAATTTGTCTGGCCATAGAGAGAAGACAAGGGGCCTCCCTATCAATTTTGATAGGAAATAACATGACGAAGCACCAGCTGTGGCAGTGAAGACAACCAAAGCCACACCCTTGAGGACTCCAAAAAGGGCTCCAGCAAGCAGTGACATAAAAACAGTTCCTGGAATCATAAAAGTCTGCATGAAGATGTAGACCACACAATATCCCACCAGAACCTGTATGGTGTAGTCGCTGGTGTAACTTTCAAGGTTATTCCTACAGATGTAACAATACTGAAAAATTAATATATATATCAATCAGGTCATGTATGTTCCCAATCATCAAGAATCAGATTAGCCAGTGGCAATTCTAGCAGGAAGAAAAATCTACGTGGCCAAAAATAAGAGATTAGCATGTGGCAGAAACCAAAACAAGATAAATTGCTGACCAAGGAAAACTATGATGATAATCCTATTGATAGTTTTTATATATAAAATAAAGAAAAATGCATCTCTATAATGTAGGTAAGCATTCACGAGCTCTATGCTCTAGAAAAACATGGGAACTGAGGAACTCTAACACTTGAAAAATTCAGTTTAGTAGAGAAATGCAGTGGCAAAGCTGTAAGCTGAACAAGGAATATCACTGAACAGGTTGATGTGAATGATAACTTAGTGCACACCAACGACCTCATTAATGTGTTGTATAAGAATACACATACACACGCATGCTTGGATGCATGGATGTGCATAGGTCTGCCAGTTGACTCTCATATTAACAGGAACAGAATTAATTTTAGTATTTGGTATATGGATTATTTTTCTTAAAGTTCTGATATTTCTCTTTTCTAATTCTCTTCTTTTCCTCCAATCTTGGTGGTGGTAAGGTGTGGCTTGAACCTCAGAAAAAGATTCACATTGTTTCTTTCTTCTGACAACCGGTTTTCTTTGACAGAGATGAGTTCCCCATGATGATACCAAAAAATCAATATAGAACAATACCACAGCTACTGTTAAAATTTGGAGAACTTTATATGGTTTTCTAAGAAATTGTTGTGATGCCCCAAAAATCCAAGAGAAAGTTAAGATCCAAAGTATTTCCTTTGATGGTTTCCCAGAAAATAAAAATGCCTTTGTAGAAAAATGACAATTAGGTGTTTAATTCCCTTTGGTCGGAAGTTGAAAACATCATAACAATCATCAGTTCAAATTCACCAGTTCTGACATTTGATATTGAAGACTGAAAGAAGTTGGATGGATCAAGTAAAAAACACGTATTGAATTAGAAGCTTCCATTTGCAGGGTTCCCAAAGCCTAATTCTGAAGATTATCTACTGTAACACCCCTAAACTGAAATATCCACACAAACAATTTCATATTGTATTTACATGGACCTTCACCACAAGTCATATCATAATCTGAAAATGGAAAAAAGATGCTCAGAATATGGACAAAAATAGAAATCGCAGTAAGCCAGTCAGCGAATCTGGACATTTTCATACTGAACGCATTCAATAAAACCATGGAATTCCAGCATCAATACAAAAGGTAGAATAAAAGGGGGGAAATGGGCAAAAAAAAAAAAAAAGATTCATTGAAAATTGAAATGCCCACAAATCTCTTTCAGAGCATCAATAAATGAATACCATAATTTTCTCTCAAAAAACTAATAAAACTGAGAAGTGCCCACAAATCAAATCACCAATAAAAAATAACCAGAAATCAAATCGGCATATAGAAACTCCTAAACTAAAGTCGCAAATCATCCAGAAAGCGGAAATTCATGGAACCCAATACGCCAAAACAAAGGGCAAGCCTCCTCGTCTCCTTGCAAAGAAAGCCCTAATTCAGTCTTTGTTCCTCATTAACAGAAAATTCCCAAACGAATTCAAAACCCTAAAATCGGACAGAACCCATCAGAATCCCCTAGCTAAATAAATTTACCTGAGAATTTGAAGATCCTCGAGAGTCCTGGGCAACTTAAGGAAGCTGTAATCAGAAGCCGGCATCGTCAAATAAACACAGGCAAGCCCCAAGACAAAGGTGAAAACGACGCTAGATGCTGCCGCCACCTCCCAGAAACTCAAAGGAAACTTAGATCCATTGTTCCTGATTGCGATTTCCCCTCTCTTCTCCATTCCGCTCTAACTAGAGAAACACACCGACAAATTAAGGGTTGTGTTTTCTGCCTTGGCGTGATATTTCAGACGTTTCAGCCCAGGTGCATTAGAAGAAGAGAGAAGGGAAGGAAAACGCAACCCTAATGTTTTAGGGCTCGTTTGGCTTTCGTTTCAGACCTTATCTTCTTCTTCTTCCTTGGTTCTTCTTCGCCTTCATCTCTCTTCCAGGGATAAAGAATATTCCTTGGCGACTAAATTCCCTCCGACCAGCTTTAATGGAGTTATGGAGGTAAAGTTTGGAGAGATGGAAACGGTTTTTGCAGAGGGATGGGGATATTCTGTGACACGTCAGCCACGATTGCCAGATGCAAAAGGCCGCCGCGGACAATCATTGGTGTACGCAACAGACGCCATCTGCTTTCTCCCTTGTTTCTCTCCTATGCACGCAATTCGACGCTCATTGGAAGGACAAGAACAAGATTCGTCAATTGTCTAAAATTACTAAACTACACTTATGTTCTTTTTTAATAAATAATTTTGATATTATGGGCCTAATTACTGAAATACGAGAGAAGCTATATATCAATCCCACGATCTGCTCCAGTTATTCCTGATGTGCGGCCGTTAGTGTTCTGTTCAATAGCGTGCGCGCAGCAGATCTGCTCTCCTTTACTGCCTTTGAAGGTTTAAAACGCTTGGATTGGAACCTACTTCCCTTTTAAGGATGGACGGTTTCGGAGGTGGGATTATATTCTCCGTGCCCGTCCCCAATCCCCAAATTCGGTGTCATTTCTCAAACTTAAATGAATCAAGCCTTAATCATTGAGACTTCAAGATTAACGAATAGTGAATCAATCCAACCCAAACAAAAAAAAAAGGAAAAACGGATCCCATCAGAAAGTTCAGTGAATCATACCCAAATCGATTAGGTCGGAGAGTTCAGATACCCAACAAGATCAGAAAAGATTGTCATCCTTAATTTCACTCTGATGCTATTAAAAAAAATCTATCTATCTATATATATAGATATATAGGTAGATATTATATATAATAAAATTAAATAATCCATGTTAGCACGAAGGAATTTGAGTTTTTTAAGACCTCTTATTTTAATGTATATTATTATTACATTTAAAAAAGATATTTAAGAGAGAGAGAATAGTAATACAACATAATAAAGTAAAATTGTAATAAGTCAAATAATATAAATAGATTGATGTTAAACAATCAAACATAAAACAATAAAAATAAAAATATAATTTTAAAAATTATTAATTTAAAAATCCATTAAACTTCCACCTAAAACTAATAAATATTAACAAAACTTAGTAAAAATTAAAAACATTTCAATTTCACTTAATAAACACTAATAAAAATAAGTAATTTAAAAACAAAAAATATTAATTGATAGTTTTAATAATACTATGATTTAAATATGGGTTTGATATATTGCAAATAGAACATGTGTTCTAATGTTGTATTTTGTTTTGTTTATTCTTTTTTATTTTATTAGATAATTTTTTATTAATTAATTAATTATATTATTAAAATTTATAATTTTTATGAGTCGAGTTGAGACCTTTATTGTGCATAGTGCCAATACTACACAAGAGACTTATATAAAATAGATGACCCATTAAAAATGATATAAAAATAAAAAATAAATGAAAATTTAAAATATAGAACCCGTTTTATCATTTATATGAAGCAAACAAGCCAAACAGGTAATTCCTACCCGTTTTATCATTTAAAATATTCCATGTCATTTTTGAAACAACCAATGAGATGCACTTTCCCAATAACCTAAATAGCATCTTCTCCTAAAATTTCTCCTAAACTACCTCCCCCACTTTCTCTAAAATTATCTTTAATTCCTATTTATCCTCTCCCC